TAGTTAATATTTGTATTAAGAGATATTGCTTATTTCATTGTAATTTTCTTATACGTAATAGCTTTTTTTTATGAAGTTGTTCTGCAGAGTTCGCTGCTAGTTTTAAATAGGATAAGACCTTTTTTTTTAAAAAAAAAAGTGTTATTTTTGTGAATGTTTACAAAGGTTTCTATTTTTTTCAATAATTCAGTACTTCAAAAACGCTTCATATTCATCTTATATGTTGATGGCTGTCCTAATTCTAGATTATTACTATTTTATTTTATTCTTAAACCTGAAGAAAACCTTTTAACCAATGAAAATGGGTTTCTAAAATGTTGTTATTACGAAGTTTTTTGTTTTACCTTGATAGTAAATAGTTCTGCTTTATTACTACTTTACTTGCAGTGTGTTATTTACTACTGTGTAATGTGTGCATTATGCTACAACTTGTTGCTTCTGTTTAGATTGACTATTACTCACGTTACTTCTGTTTTAATTGACCAACTGAAATGGTAAAATTTTGCCACTTTTGCGTGGTCCATTAGGATGTTATTTAGGCTATAAATCAAAATACTACTTCATTGTTATATTTCATATTACAATGTTCGCATGTGATGTATATGAACTCGTGACGATTTATTATATTATTTTTTATATATACTTTTAATAATTGTGTATTTAATCCTTTAAATTCCTTAAAATTTTATAATTGTTTATATGTACGCTTATTTAACGCTATTAAAGAGCATATGGAATTTCAATACGTTTCTTAATAGACGATTATTTTAAAATTTTTTGCTGTGACCAGATTCAATTCCACGATTTCCGAATTTAACAAACAGGGAAATATTTTTACAATTACTATAGTCTTTAATTCTTTTGTTCTCATGTGCCCATATAAGACATTTATTTATTATATTTAGGTTGGCTAAATTTTATGCAATCGTCGTGTTTCATCTGTGATGTTTTACAGTGTGTACGTCATTTCTTTTAGGACGCATGGAATTTCTAGAAATTACCAACGTAACTCTGGAAGAAAAATTCTTTCAAACAACACTCTCCTTACGTACATTAAGTAAGAAGTTGAAGTTAGTTTCTTGTTGAAGTCATTGTGCTGGAAACCCAGCCCACATCTTATCGACAACACCTAACACACCCTGTCGAGGCTGTCTCCAGATTTTTCTACCGTATCGGATTTCCGCTCCTGTTTTTAATCAAAGTTTGGTAACACTGCCCGCCTTGTAAAAAGCCATCTCCGTCCTTTTGACGTATGTCTGAAATGAATGATTGCTTCATACATGTCGTGCACTTTTTGATGAAGTCCCTATACAGTTATCCGATACGCCTTGCCATACGCCTCCACTGACCCTAATGACTTATAATCTTCGAATAGCTCATGAGTGTGTAGGTGTTCGCTTTTATTTGACTATTCCTGCCTTGTAGTGCCGAATTCCTTGTAATATGAAACGAATTTCTGTATTTTTTAAAAGAGTATCTGGTGATCTTTTAAGGTTCAATAGCTTCTTTCACAGCAAAAAATTTTAATTGTCAGAGTTCGTATTTTCGTGAGGGAAAAAAATGATGACATAAGAGAACGTCAAAGGGTGACTTCAAGTATTAAACGTGTACACAAAGTTCTGCTATAACGTTTTTGTTGTAATGTCACATATGAGATTTTATCTAAAAATTTTGTGGTTGTCTCTTTCTTATTGCATACATATTTCTCAGATCTCAAATTCAGATTTAAAATTTTAAATTTCAATTGAGTTTGAAAAGATAATTTTGTAAAACAAAATGAACTATTTTTTTCAAAAACAAAAGAAGTGATTCATATAATGATGTCCTAGAAAAGTTCACTGAAAGCACCAGCTTTCCTCTTTTAAATTTCATTTTGAACTAGTTCACAGTCTTATCATTTGAAATGGCTATTCCAGAAAATGAATTTAAAGGTTACGAAACATGAATACGAGCCAGGTACCTGAAAAAGGTCATCCACGGGCACCCTGTCCATTCATATAGTGACTAATGGCGGAGAACGTATTAAATAAATAAACAAATCTGAAACTTATCAAATTTTAATGGTCCCCCAAAAGGGTTAGTTAAGGTTTTTTACACTTTTGCTTAGAACGCAGTCTACCAGTCTGCTGTTGTGCTGTTGCACACGCCATTTTTTTACCCCATTGCTAACTTTTTTTTTTTTTTTTTTTTTTGTCTTTTTAGATTTATTATTAAGCATCGTTTTCTTCGCACATGCTACATATATTACTCAACACAAAAATCGCAAAAAGTTTAAAAGCAGCATATTATTTGAATTACCGATGCAGTGTTGCGTTCGCGTACATTTTTTCCCCCACCGGTATTTTCGCAATTTATAATATCAGTGTTCAATTTTCTTACTAAAATGGTTTACAAAACTTTTTTTCTCTTTTTGTTATTAATGTCTTGTGTGTTAACTTTATTAAATAAATATCACGTTCTTGGCGCTTACGCCCATATATATAGTAAACTTGTGATCCTGTTACTGTCTGTTATAAACTCGTGACTTTGTTACATAAGTTAAAAAACCGTTATCCTGCGTATTCAAATTCTTCTTACAGTATTCGTAGTAATATTTGTGATACGTACGAAAAAGCAAATTGGTCTAAAATACTACCAAATCTAGTTTATTAAAAATAATTCATTTTAAAAATAGATGTTACATCGTATTTCGTTCAAAATAATTATTTTCAGGTTGATATGCATTTTTACCAGTGCTTCCTTGTGAAGTCGCTGGAAACATTTCTTAAACATACGTTTTCATAGTTCATTAAGACGGGTGATTACTAGTCTTGGTGCTATTCAGATGCTGGTGAGCTGATGACGCCTGTTGCCGGCATTATGGATTGTTCCAGAATCTGATGAAGCAATGCTTCTCCTATTCCCATCTCCCCCCTCCTTTCGGAAAATCGAAAAATTAAATTTATTTCGCTTTAGATTACTTTTTAATATTTTCTTATAAATTAAACAGCAAAAAGGTATAGAAAATGTTGATAAACTCTGAAACGTAAATAAAAGTAGTTTTTTATATTGATAAACTAAAATGTTTAACAGCTAGATAAAAGATGATCATATTCCCTCCCTGAAAGGACAAAATACTCCCCCAGGAGAAATTGCCCCTTGGTTGAGAATCCCTGCACTAGTTTGCCAGTATTAGGTTTTAGTATATCCGTACCAAAAAATTATTTATTTCGGAACATTTATTTGCTGCATTATTTGATCACTTACTTGTGAAACTTTATATTAGGATATCTGGATTAAAATTACATTGCCTTAAGGGGTATCAGAAACCCCTATAACGACAATGTTAAATTGGCCATTTTCGATGTACCTTTCTCAAAATCTGCTGTAGATACAAGCTTGAAATTTTTTCTGTAATTAAAGTATACCTATCTGATTATACCGAAATGAGCTTTTGAAACATTTTGAATTTTAGAGTAAATTACAGAATATTTTGTTAGGCATAGTAATATTTAGCACTTTTCTCACACAAAAAAATTAAAATATTTTTTCTAAGTTTTTTACAAAAAGCTCATTTCAGTGAATACTATGGAACCTAATAAATAAGCCATAAAGAGTTTAGATACCTGTGAGCAGTAGTTCCTGAGAAAAGGTACATCGAGTATAAAAAAATCAGGTTTGGAGAAAAACGCGTTTTTATGTAAAAATCCTCATTGATCAAAGCAGTAGATGACAAATTAAAACTAGATTTTTTTACAGTTCTAATTTTCATAGAGATTAAAGAATGGTATTCTTAGAAAGATAAAAGGGTAGAGAATTTGAAAATGCAAAAATCCGAAATCTTAATTTTTTAAGATTTTGGGGTTCCAACACCCCTTAAAGTGTGGTGAACTTTTATATCTCTTAGAAGGCACAGGACATATGGAATATATGAAGCGTATGTAAAGTTATCCCTAACAGAAGGAGTGGAAAGAAGTAAGGAGAAGGAGAGATAACAGTCTTTTAAACTTACGCACGAAAAACGAAAGTCTATAAATGCTGTCATGATGAAGAAATATTCTCAAGAATAACTGGACTAGCATTAAATTATTATTTAAAGAGTTGTATTAGAACAGATGTAACATTTAGTATTTTTGAAGCTAAAAATGTTTGTAATGTTTGTTGCAATGTTGTTGCGTGCGTACGGCTTCGTAATGGATTGGATGCACAAGTCGATAAAAATTTATTCTTATCCCAAGAAATAAAACAAAATGCTGAAATTTCCTCAGAGGTATTCGCTTAATATCACAATATCTCACAGAAGTAATATTTTAAACTATTAAAGCGTGGAACTCAATTCAAAGCAGAGAAAGATAATCCGATCTCACCGCGAATTCGCTACAATCAACAACAGGAACTAAGTAGAAAACTGAATTGATATGTTTTCCTCCGGCTTTTATGAGCTTTTTAATCATGCACGAGAACATTCTGGTATTTTCTCGATTTTGCTGGAAAACAAAAGAATACAATTATCTATTTATAAAATGTTAAATGCCGCGTGCTCCTGTGTTTTTACTTTTTGGGCGTTGCTTTTTCTTAAAACTCGTCGAGCGCAGCATTGCACGGGAAAATGAAACAGCTTAACTGCAACTCTACTAAAAACAGCAAACTAAATAAAAAAAACCGTAACAATATATTCATTCAGTACATTTAATAACAAACTGGTCCAAATTCTAAAAATTAGAAACATTAAATTATTTTATTTCATATCTTAACGAAAATATGTCCTGCTGCTGCTTAAACTGGATCATGCTGTTGAATATTTATCTAGAGCTCTACATGAAATTAACTAATAACATCCATTTCAGTGTTTAAAGATGGACTGAAAAGTCATCCGTTTGCCGAATTGTACCTCCAAATTTCCTCATTCCATCAACCGAGAATAATCGTGTCTCTCACAAGCGAAGTAACCTTAAGCACGATTTATCTCCTCTTCTTGTCAGCCGACAGCTGATCATCTAACCTACTTTTCTTTTTCACAGAGGAGGGTGTCACTAAAATGGATGGACAACAGACGACCGTCAAGACGGACATGCAGAGTGACGAGAACTCAGGAGAAGAAGGGGATGCCAGTAGCACAAACCTGGACGGCGATCAGAAGGTCATTGGATTTCTCTCAGAATGGGTTTCTGCCTACAACTTTATCAAAGGTGAGGTACTCTCAATGTATCTGGAAGGAGTGTACAATTAATGACTCTCTTCATTTATTCCAGGCTGTAAGAATAAAATTCTTGTACTTTTCCAATTGAGTGAACATGTTACAGACTTTTAACGATTTGTCATCAATTGTGAACAAAAGGAAATGATTAGAAATATCTAAATCTTTAAAAAATTAGCTAAAAGGGAGTTGAAAATAAAAAAGACAAAACTTTCAGAATCGTGCTAGAGAAAGTGTCAAGTCACTTAATGTATACAGACATCTTTCAGTTGGATTTCTTCTCTTTATTTGTTTAAATTTTCAGCTTTATGGCAATCGCATTATTCCTCTTTTTTTTGGCAAATCCCGCATTACCCAGCACTAGATATTAGTAAATTAGATAAGCATTAAAATACTTGTTGTTATATCCAAAGTAGTCCTTGGCAGAAATGTATAGCTGTCAGAATTGAACGTTTCATCTGTGTCTCGTTTCTCAGTTTAATTTAATGCATTTACGGAACTAAGAATGAATTAAATTTCTGCTCCAGAAATTGGCAGTATTATTACAGACTGAAAAATGTTTTTGAAATGGTATTCTCGTGTATCATCTGAGAACAAATCAGTGCTGCCTGTAATTTTCCAATTTCTAAAGTGGATAGTATTTTACTCGCATTTAATAGTGGTAACGCATTTTCTGCTTGCTATGTTACTTAAGTGTGGGAATAATTCAGTTATTTTTATGCTATTAGTAATATTAAAAAAAAAGATTAAACTCAAAATATTCACGTTTTCGGGCAATTCTGATTGAGCTGTTTGAATATATCGAGCAGAATTTTGTTGTCCGAGTTTCTATGAAAGCTTTCATCCTTCATCTCATCAAACATTTCCGTACTTACTGAACTTGAACAATAAAATGTAAAAGGAAAAACAAAAATAGATTCGTCTTTAAACATATATCATAAAAATCGAGAAATTTTTTCACGGCTTTTGATATTTTCAGGTAAGGACCGTTTTTATATTTTGGCAACTAAAAATTCTGAAGTTTTTTTGGACGAGTTTATACACTATGGATCACTAACAGTTTCAAAAATGTTATAATCATCTGATTAATATTAATTGAGGAATATGCGCTCTCGGTTGTCCAGGAATAACTTTATTAATGCCAATCGTAACTCATTGCGTTTGTTATAGCTTCTTTCATGTAATCTTCAGAGAAATGTGTTAATATGTGTAATGTACAACCAATTCTCGAAGATGAGATAGACCTTTTTTTATTTACCAATAAAGATCTTATTTAAAAATTTAAACCCCACACCTTTTGAATTTAAAACTAACATAGATTCATATTAGACTAAATTTATTTTCTAACTGAAAAAAACTTTAAAAATACTTTTTAAATTTTCTTTTCTATACGTTTAAGCATTTTAACTGTCTTAATTTGAACAAATTTTCTTTTTATTTTGCAATTTTTACAATTTTTGAAATGTAACCAATTTTTAAAATCATCTAGAAAGACATAATTCAGAAACTTGGCTGTGTTGAAAATTCTTTGACTGCTCCTTGAAAAAGGCCAAAGAATTTTCAGCAGATTTTTTTACAGTTTTTATATCCTTTATATTTTATAAAAAGTTTTGACCTGTTTTTGCATTTTGGAAATGGTTATATTTTTGTTTTGTGCATTTCCTTTTCTAGAGGTACCATCTTCTGAATTTAATTTTGATTTAAATATTTATCTTGATTAATTAATTAATTTCGCAGCATCCTACGCAACTTTAATAATTTATATTCTTTTAATTAAAAATTTCCCAACTCTTGTATATGATATATATTTATGTATATGTATGTAAATATAGAGAGAGAGTCAAAGTGGAAAACTATTTAATTGAAATTTTTAATGTCACTTAAAATGCTGCTATATAAATGTGAAAAGAATATAATAAAGGAATTTATACTATTAAAATCTGTTCGCTCTGTATTAAAATCTCTGTGTTTGTTTGCGGCATTATCTCCTCCGGATGACGGAGGGTTGAGCTTCGAGAGACGTACTCCCGGATTCCAAAAATTCGTAGGAAGCCATTTTGACCATTTTCATCTTTGTACGTCTTTAATTAGCGGAGATCTTAATTAAACCCTAAAAACGCTAATTTTCGGACTCATTTTTCAGAGTGCCAAACCTTGCACGCTAGAGATAAAAATCTGCTTTATTTCGAGAAGTTTTGCCACTACGCGCTTTCAAATCGTAGAATTTGTTAATAAAAAATCTTACAAAATATCAAATAAAAATAACATTGCCAAACATTAAACATATTGTTACGATTTTGGTATTTAAAAAGCTAATGTTAGTTCAGTTATAAATTAAATGGTTTTATTTCTCGCGCAGTGCAGCGCGTGACGAATATTTAAAAGAAAGCTAAGCCGGAAAATTGAAAATACAAGAGCGCGTGCATTAAATAAATAAATATCTCTTTTTGATTTCGAGAAAGTACTGGAAAATTCTAGCGCGTGATTTTAAAATCTTATAAAAGGAGGAAAACATCTCAGTTTGTAGGAGTTGCTTAGTTTGTTGTTGTTTAGAAAACTGCTCTTGTTGATTGTAGCGAATTCGCGGATTAGCGTTCTTTAGCTGTTTTGAATTACGTTCTATTGGATATTTGAGTAGTTAAAAGATAACTACTGTGAGATATTGTAATACTGCATGATAATTTGAGAAAATTTAAGCATTTTTTTGTGATAATAATAAATTATTGTTCATTTTTCATCGGACTTGTGCATTCATTTCATAACGAACCCGTACGCACGCAACAATATTATAATACAAGGCCTATTCTGACTGTGAAGAAAGCACGCGATTGGCATGTGACGTCACGGTATGTCGAACATGGACCTTATAAGAGATAGACTAACCCAGTGGGCGGGCGCGCGTCACCGACATGTTGTCAAGAAAGAGTAGGGACGATATGGTTTACTTTAACACTGAAACCTATGGCGTTTGTATCACATAACCCTTTTTAATTATTAAATGCGATACTTTGTATAGTGATGAGATTATGAAAGCCACAGTTTTTTCCAAATAGGATTTAATATATCTCATTAAAGCACATTTTACTGCATTTCGCGCAATGTTTTCACGCGTAATTCTTGTACAAACATCTTTACTTTGGTAAAACGGTAAAAACTCTAAGCACAAAATTTATTAACTTAATTTTGCCTAAAAATAAAGTAAAATTAAATAAGATTGATAGTACGTGATGCTTTGAAATAAATAAGGTAAAATTATACAAGATCTGATAATTTTTTTAAAAAAATTAATGAACATTTTCAGGCAGTGATTCTCCAAACTATGGAATATCAGAGTTAGATATTGCTTACACATTCAGGCTGTCTAAACTTGGTTTTTAATTATTTTTTTAATTAATTTTCATTGCTTTTAGGATATTTTTACATACAGTGTTAAATTAAGAGTAGGTATTCTTTCATTCAGATAGAAAAGTCGGTCAAAAAGTAATTTCGTGATTTTGTTGCTTTGTTTACATTCTGAGTTCACTCTATTTGTGTGTAAATCTAAAGTCTTCTTCAATTAATTTGGGTAGACGTTCATGTTCTGGTCATTTAGCATTAAACTAAGAATGAAAATAGGTGGAAATACTAAGTGGTTTGTTTACATTGGGACATGTTCGTGTAGAAGGTATAAAACAGGTTTTTACGAAACGATCATATTTATTTGATTATATGATCATTAAATTATTAACATTAAAGTGTATTCGTTATTTTAATAATTCATAAATTTCGGAGCACAAAATTTTCTGAGCTTAATGAAGGGAAAGAAAAGAGATAAAAATAAAATATAGAAGCACACAGATTTTATATTACGACCAAAAAGAACCTTTTTTTTTAAAGTTTTGCGTGTTACCTATATTTATTGAATATCATGTTCTTCGCCCGTAAACCACATACATTTGAAAACAGCATATTTTTAGAATTTCCGCACTGGAGATAAAACTGTTATTTTCCGTACAGTGTTCGCTCTGAACTCGTTGAGTTTTTTAATCAAAAATTCATTAAAGTTTTACAAAATATGAAATAGATTAAAACAAATTCGAAATTCGGCCGTCCAGATGCTCATGTTCGGGTGGAGGATTACATTATTCAAAATTTGATGGCTCTAGATACTGTCGTTTTTGTCATAGTGCGAGAAACATACATGTATTCATGCAGATTCTTCATTATTTAATTTCTTTACATATAATACAGGGCGATAATATTTGGTAACAACAATTTGCAAGAAGACACGCACATTTATTGTAAAACAGCGCAAAATGCCGCTTCGAAACTAACAGCCTTTCTAGTTTACCGCCCCTTTGGGCTAATAAATTAAATTAACAGTAAACAAAAAAAATCTTATGCTGAACTAAAAATAAATTTAAAAAAATAATCACTATAAAATACAAGCAAAATTAATTATTACAGTTAAATACAATTTTAATAGTACAATTAAATGTATAAAAATTTTTAAGGAGTCAAAAGTGTTTATTGCTCTCCGTATTAAGTTAAGTATTGCCATCCTTATGCTAGACGTGGCCAAAGCATTTGACCGCGTGTGGCATACAGGACTTCTTTACAAATTGATTCAACTTAGCCTGCCCAGAGATTTAATTCTGATCCTAAAGTCCTTTCTTGAAAAACGCACTTTCTCAGTGAAGCAGGGCGACTACTGCTCCTCCCCGTGTTCTATCCAAGGTGGTGTAGCTCAGAGCTCTATCGTAGGCCCAATTTTGTACTTGATATATATGTTAATGATTTTCCAAATTTCTCACAGGATCATAACTTTATGCTTGCATGTTACGTTGATGATATGGCGCTCATTGAAAGATCCCGGAGACCTAACCACACCCTCCAGAAACTGCAAATTAAATCCCAGACATCGAAAAGTGGTGTGCTACATGGAAAACCAGCATTAATCCTACTAAATCGCAGATTCTGCTCATTAGAAAATACAAGCTTAAAGACCCCATC